TCTCTCTCTCTGTGTGTGTGTGTGTGTGTGTTTCTCTTTAAACTCTGCAGCATCCCTGTCTCTGAGTGCGGCCCTGCTGCTGGAGGAGGGCGGGTCGTCATCAGCAGCAGCAGCAGCAGATTTCGGACGGTGTCTGGCTGAGGTCGTGTGTGCGCAGCGGCTCTAACCCGGTTTGCACTAAGTGAATCCGGATCCTCGAGCTGAACTGGGGCCGCTCTGCTGGACACTGACCCCGGGTAAACTCCCACAGGACCCGCGCACTTCCCCGCAGAGGCGCCTTCTCTTTTTGCGCAGAGCGGACACTGGCGCACCGTGCGGAGGGAATGATCCCGACCATCGAGTGACACGACACCGGGATTATTTCAGTGCAGCGCTTCTGTTTGCATCGGTGCAAACATGATGTCACTGATCGATCTGGACGACGATCAGCGCTGGGTCCCGACTCACGTGAATGTCACCGTGCTCCGGGCGAGAGGACTGCGCACCAAGGGCAAGCACGGCAGCCGCTACCTGTACACCATCATCCAGGTGGGGAAGGAGAAGTACACCACCGGGCTGGTGGAGAAGGCGGAGATGCCCGAGTGGAGCGAGGAGTGCTGCTTCGAGCTGCTGCCCGGGATCCTGGAGGAGGGCGGCCGCAGCGCGTACCCGCCGGGCAGCGGGGACCTGGTGCTCACCGTCATGCACCGGGTGCTGATCGGACTGGACGTGTTCCTCGGTCAAACCATCATCCCGCTGGACCAGATCTTCCAGGAGGCCATGTGTCCCAGAGACGAGTAGGTGCTGCTTGACAACATATGTGTCAGTGTCCTGATCATGAAGTGATGTGTCACGATTTCATGTGCTCACGTTTTTCAGTAATGCTTGCAGGGGGGGGGGTTATGGCATGCCAGTGGCGGATCTAGGTTTTTTCTGAATCAGGGGCTGATTATATGTCAAACATCTGTGCACAACTCCTGATCATGTAAAGTGCACATCTAAAAACGACTCCATGTTTACTGTTGATTCAGTGAATATATCTTGATAACTGTTCATTCAGCAAAACTGGGAACACGAGACCTCTTTAACAAATTGTCGTATTTATTGTTAGAATTGTTCATGACTAGTATATTTTTTTTTAATGCAGTTGACACAATGGGTGTAATGGGCACTTGAGGAGCCAGTCAGATTTCAGCTTGGCCCAGGGCCCCCCAGGCCCCCCTGACTCTGGATCCTCCCCTGTGACATGTATATTTTCGTGCATGTCAACATTTAAAGGACGTAAAAAACTATCTATCAATTTGTTTTTATATATGTAGTAGTATTTAAGTTCCTTTGCACTCACATCTTAATGCTTGATCTGTCTCTGACTGATGGGGACACGTGGTCACTTAAGAAAATTGCCAAAGCTTGATCCCTAAATGCATCATTTAATTCTCGCCTCCTAGACTGAAATACACTCCAGCAGCAGTACCCACAATGCACTGCAAATTCCACTGTGTGACTTAATCCACAAAGTCTCCTTGTTATGCACAATTTCCCCACATGCACTTTTTATTCAACTCTTTTGTGATGCTATAGCTAAACACCGAGCTCTATGTGTACTCTCTCTGTTGATAGATCATCTGAGAGCGTAAGTGACACTGTGTCCTTCCTCTCTTCCAACATTATCAGATTTATTAGTAAAGAGATATGGTCTGAGTCACCAGGGAGACAGAAAATCGCAGCAAAAAATCTTCATGCAAAGTCAGAATTCCCTGAACTTCTTGCAGTAGATGAGGCTGATGAACGCTGAGCCAGGCCACTGCAGCTGGACGCTTGTTCCTCCCAGACTGATGATGTGTAGTCTGTGTCGTTCAGTGGGTGTTTTTTTTAGATTGGTGGCTTTCTCAGCTGCTTTGAGGACAAATATAATCTGAACTGGCTGAGCTGAAGAACCACAGTGTTTCTAAGATCATATCCAAGTGAAAGAAGATGAGAGGTGGTAGATTTTTCTCAGGTTTTTTGCTGTTCAGTTAGAATACTTTTAAAATAGTATTTACCTTTGTTACCAGGATTTTAAGTGAAGTGACTGAAACACTACATCACACATGAATGTTCGATGGGAAACAAAACTTTTATTTTACTTTTTTTGTTTTTTTAGCAATTACTGAACTTTTCTGCAAATTCATGAAATTATTTGACCTTATTTCTTTTACCTGCACAACTCGTTTATCTGTAAGATGCTTTTTGGTGCAGATCTGGATCAGGGGGTGGATCCTGGAATGTTTTTGTTCACTGTCTTTAACATCAGGGCCTTTTTCGTTTTTAGCATTTTAGCTGTAATAATGGATCTGGATGTTAAGGAGCCTGATATCTATCAGTGTGTGCAGTTTGGTGCAGATCCTCTATTCTGGCAAAAAAGGCCAAAAACACACAAAGATACGTGAAGAACACAAAAGTGTTTCATGTATGTTTGTGTAGTGCTGTTCTAGTTTTATTTTTGATTCAGTTATCACAGCAACTTCTAATTCAGACAAATGAAAACCTTGTGACAACCAGTCAGACACATGAGGATTTAAAGTCATTAAACTTAATCTTTGTCTTATTTCGCTCATTTAACATTATGAATCCTCTCTGTTACCACTGTCACCCTCTGTGACCGAGCCACACACTGAAGAATACGTTCTTTTGTTCTCTTTTCAAATTTGACCAAGCTGCTTTTATTGAAAACGTTCCCTAATTTATCTTATTATGAGTCTTTGTGGAACTTGGTGACGTAACAGGACCCGGCAGTAATATGTGAAACATCTCCACCATAAACACAGAGGAGCGGGGCGTTCAACACATCTGGATTGAATTGTGGCTTCTCCGCCCTCGCTCTCTCTCTCTCCACGCTCGGTGAAACTCACGCTGAAGTCCTGCTGTTAGTTTTGGCTCTGAAACACTTTCTCTGGTCACACACAGAGG